TACGCAAAATGACGAACTATTTGCGGAGGACCCCAGGTCCTAGTTCAGCGTACGTTTTATCCTTCTGCGTATATGTATGGTACATGACTGACGTATAAATACACTGAAGAAAAAATAGATGTTTGGTTTAATTGTTTACTTTGTAAGTGTAAACACAGGATTTCGCGTACCTATCAATCTTGCCGACATTTTCGGTAAATAAAAAAAATACGTAATACCTATAATAATAACATAAGGTGTGCAACCGTTGTCCGCTATGCCATGACGAGACGTCGTCATGGGCGGTCCACTTACCCAAAAGGAACAAAGAAAACAATCATACACAATTAACTAGTGTTAACAATATTACGTTTAGATACGAGTACAAGTACTTGTACTTCCCCGTTTTGATTTTTCTTGAATGTCTACTAACTTGTCTCTGGTTTCTTTTTGCATATGACCTCAATCATCTAGATCAGCATTTCAGGCAGTTTTGTTCCTTTTTGGGTAAATGGACGCGCCCGTGACGTCACGTCATGGCGTCGCGGACAACGGATATTTGAGCGAAGTTGTGGAGAAATGTCACCGCTGCTGCTGTAAAACATGCGTTTGATATTATATGCATTAAGAGTCATAAAGAATGGTCCCTTCCAAAAAGATTGGTTTGTGTTTTATAATTTTCGATTGAAGATTAATTGTGCGACAGCCTGGATATTAAGCGAGGGGTTCCCACGTGACTTAAAATGCGTTGCACTCCTTGTGTTATTATTATACGTATTACGTATTTTTTTATTTAATGAAAATTTCGGTATAATTGATAGGTACGCGAACTCCTGTGGTATATATGATATATATTTTTACAAACAAAGTAAATGATAAATTATCTCCGGATCAAAAGCAAGTCGCCAAGTCCACTATCACCGAGGACTCGCGAGACCGAGAACTCCACTTCCGTAAACATGGTAAACAGCCCATCTAAACCACGTGGAGAAATCGGCATCGCCACATACATCTATACTCCATCATCCGATACAGACATCGTCCCTCAGTCATTATTATCCAATTTCTTACGCAATTCAACGTCCTCAGTTATTTTAACACACACAATTCTGTTTTCTGACCATGCTGACAAACTCCGTTGGCGTTTTATCAACTGCAACATTGCATTTAATATACATGTTTGTAAGGGACTATTTTTGTATAGTAAAATTTGACGTCATGGGGCGGGGCAATGGAAAATAACATGGAATGCCTCGTGCATTTCAAATCTACGAAATTAAACGGTATTTCGACTTATTTCTAGATTGTTATTTCAAGTAAAAATGGAAACATAAGGAATCACTGTCTAGTTAGGAGGGTATGCCAGGGACAACAACAATAATGGGAAACATGGTATAATTTTAGCATAACGGGCGAAGCCCGTTATGCAAATTATCCCATGTTTCCAACTATTGTTGATGCCCTGACAGTCCCTCCTAACTAGACAGTGATTACTTAATTAAACATATTTTTTTCTAGTTAACGACAAATTGAAAACGCTGTGACATCTTTCATAGAATGTAATCTTTGCATTTTGCTCATAATTTTTTTTATTTTGCACTCAATTGACATGATCATAGATTGACCTGAACCATATGTTTGAAGTGAAATGTAAACATGTATTGGCGTAAACGTATTCAATCAACAATTGGTCAGTTGCTCGTGGTTAGATCCTCCGCGCACACTAATAACAATAGCCATATGAGGCAAACAAAGTATGTCAGAGACGATGATATTACACATTATTTTTACAATGTACCAGCGTATCGGCCGCTAATGAGCTCTAATTTCTGCCGTAAACTATGATAAGATATATTGTTATTAACCCCCTTCCTTTAGCCACTCTTTTCCGTTGAAATCATGAAAGTCTTTAAATATGCCTGGAAACACATTTTTCACTGAACGTGTTTTTAAAAGAAACTGACTATAGCAATTTCCTGTTTACTGCAAATTTTATTTATAAATCCGGTTCTAATATAATCTATAACCTTTTGAATAGGTCAATCTAGACCACGTGTCTTGAATTTAGATCACAATAACTATGGAAGGGGTGATTAAATGTAGAAAAGAAAACATTCCTCGTAAATTGCACTTATCATATATCAAGATGAATTCGTGTTTTTCCACCAAGAAAGTGTACACGTGTATCAACCAATACTGTTTTTGATAGGAAATCTTAGATTGAACAAAGAAGAAACAGCGTCAAACGTTATTGGAGCTTACAATAAAAACTTATAATTCCCGTGTACTATAAATCTAAAATGTTTGTTGATTCTCAATACCTCATAGACTGTTTTTTTTTCGTCACACAAGTAAAATATAGTATCATTTCTGAAATGACTGATGTAGAATTTTGTTATAACACTAAGTACGAAAACTTGTACTTTTATTTGATCCAATCGAAAATTTCGTTTTTTGAACAAAGAAGATAAATAGATAAATTGATAGAGGAAATCCATATCTGAAGACTATCTTGCTAAAAATTCAAGAAGTCTTATTGTTTCTTCAAATTCGCATAGAATTTCTCCAAGCTTTTCAGAATTCAATTGAGATTCGTCCATTAAATGCTTCTTTATGAGCTTTTTCAGTTGTTTTCTTCTTGTTATCTTCTCGGTGTTTTTTAAGCCAATCGCGTCCAATATCTGTTTGCGATAACTTCTTTCACTTAACATAAAGTCTTCTAAGTCGCCATATTTCCAGATAAATTCATCTTTCTCTTCCAATCATTTTGAGAGTTTTTTGAAACCATTTTCTATAGTAAGGAACTCTCCTATAGTACTCTCTTTCAAAGTATCAAAATCCTTAATATCAGTAAATCCCTCTACAAGACCCTGGCCGTCTACGTCAACATATGTGTCACGATCTAAAATAGTACGACATGGCAAATTTATTTTTCTGCACACCGCTTGAACATCTGAAGCATTGGTGCACCCTCCAAGTTGAAGTATCTGATGACTTAAAATCTTGTTAAATTTCTCAGATGATTCTTGGGTGGCAAAAAAATGTCTGAAAATAGCACCAATAACTATTTGGTCACTTTTACCTTCAACAATGAGAATTCTTGAAGAAAGGAAAAGTTTTTTCAAAGTTTCGTCTTGAGATAATTTTTGTACTATCGGGTAGACTTCTTCACTGCCGAACGCTTTGAGTCCACACGTACACCTTTCCGAACTGTCTTCCTTGTAGAATACGAACGTGTTTTTTACAGATAAGGAATCGATGAATACTGGGCTATGGGTAACAATAATTACAGTTTTGTCCTTGCACTTCTTTTGCAGCACCTCTTTCATACGCTCTATCATTTGAGGATGCATACCTCTGTCGGGTTCCTCATAGCAAACTGTCTTAAAATTGTTGTTCGTCAATACAAGTGAAAGCTGCTTGGCCTCCACAACTCCTACAGATGTTTTCAACAAAGGAAATTCTTCGCCATCATCGTGCATATGCTTAACTACAATTTTTTCTCTCCTTTTCTCTCGAATTTGAAGATACTTGGATTTGTTAAAAAATTCAATTCAAATCTCCATCCTCTTCAGACGATGTACTATCAAGAAGCTTGTTAATGATCTCAGCTTGTATGCATACTTCTGTGTAATTTTCAATCTTGTACTTTTCTTTAATATGTTCGCTGATTGTCCGCTGAATGTGCCTATACCTCTCATGGATATACTTCCCACATATGTTTTGCTAATTTTATCCCATAGCTCATGGGAGTGGTGAAATTTCTCTAACATACATTATATTTGTTAAGATTGCTGTCAAGTATATGCTAAAAAAAAGTATTTCTATTTCTTCTCATTATGTCTACAACGTACTTTTTGTTAATCTTTCTCAAATTGTTATCCCTATCTAAGACCTTAGGCAAGTCATCAGTAGGGAAAACATATTTTGGACAACTTCAGCTTCACATGAATACAAAATTTGCTTATACATGCGTATTTCATCAGGGAAACATTTTAATAACATAGTACTTACTGAGATAGAAAATATCTTAAATTCAGACAGCCTTGTAGATATCAATGCATTTTATCTTTTGTGTGACTTCAGGTATTTTAGAGTTCTAGTGTTTCTAAAGGATAAAAAAAAAATTGACCAGAAAAATCCCAGCATTTGAGTAAATTTGATGAAAAAGAGAGGGAGTATAATAGAATCCGAGATGAAAAACGTATACAGGGCATATTTGAATTGGGGATAAAAAATGAAAAAAAAAATCGTCATTGACCGATCTCTATTTTTTTTTTTTTTGGTCAGATTGTCATGTTAAATAACTTTTTAAATAAGGCCTTTTTGTTCATATATTTCCTGAATAAATAATGCCTCATTTATATGTATAGCTCAAGCTTTGAATTTAAAGACATCATTTTTGTCATATTTTGTCTAGGATGTACGCCCTATTATATGTCATGCAAAAGTCGTTTTTTAAAAAAATAGGTGAAACAAGAAGTGCAAATTTAAATGTTATAGCATGATCTGAGACATCTTTTTAAAGGCGATGCACATATCAAATATGAAACCCTCTCTCTTCTTTATGATAGTTATAAGAGAAAATAACTTTGTTAAAAAGAAGGTCAAATATCAAGGTCATTGGTTTTAAAATCATTGTGTCTTTGGAAAGGCTTTGTCACAGGTTATACACATATGAAACCCTTATCTTTTCTTTCAAAAGTTATTTCCAATTTAAATAATTTTTAAATTAAGTATTTAAATTTTCGAAAAGTATATACGTCAACTTCAAAGGTCAAGATAAGAGGGCCAAAAATCTAAATATTCAATATACTTAGAAAGGCTTGGTCACAGATAATACACATGAAATATGAAAGTCTTATCTTTTCTCATTTAAAACAAGTTATAACCAAGAATTTCTGTGACAGACGGACAGACCGACGAATCGGGGGACAATAATAACATATGTCAACTAATTAACATGTATACAAACCAACATGTTTTTGATATCTGTATATTCATGAAGAACATGATGATACGTATTTACCTTTTCAGAGTATTAAAGGATCCTAGCAGTAAAAACAAGCAATATGTTAGCATATATCGCAGGAAAGGTCAAGCTGAATTATTAAATTTCGATTTAAACAGTCTTTGCTGTAGATTGTAAGGTAAATTATTATGTACATATTAGAGGTCCAGTGAAAGCGCTTTCACTTTTGGGCACAACCATATATTTATTCATTCGGAAGGGGTGATACCATTAACTACCAAAATTCCTTGACAAGCAAAAAACCAAAAGATTATGAGACGTTGTTATTCAGGGGGCACATATAGAACCTATTTTTTCTCGTCAAAATTATTGGAGCACATCCTCTCATGTCTCCATTGTTACTATACTGTCATGTATTACATGTGCGATGTATTATCGAAAGCTTTTGAATATTGTTGATGAAATGAAACATTCATACATAAAATCATGGTGTACTAGCAATTTATTCCTTGCTAATTGAAATCTACAAATAATATAAACTATTTTAATACAGGCAAGAATGCACCCATAAGGATGTTTATCATACCTTAACACTGGCAAAGCCAGGAAATATAAAGTTACCTCCAACCTTAACCCTCTTTCAAAAAAACGTTACTATAGCCTGATGAAATATTAAAAAAAGTAGAATTTAAAGTCTGCAAAAAACTGTAATTATACAAAATATCTATGAATAGGAGTCAACTTTTTTTATATCATCGTCCCTTGTCTGTGTAGCAGTGTACTAGTGTCATACATCACTTGTATATGGTGTTTCACTCAGAGTTGATCAATTCGCAAAAGCATGATGTACATGTAAGTACTAATCCGGGATCCCACTGACTCTAACACCTGCTTTTTTATATATTGTGACATTGACAGGGGGTTAAAGCAAGAGCAGAGGCCATATTGAAAACTGGGAAATCAGTGACATAATCTGGCGTCGCAACTTTGCCTAACTTTACAACTTTATTTCAAGGATCTAACTTCTAAGATGCGAGAAATCAGTAATTGGATGATTCTTCTACAATTTTTGTCATTTATAAGGTCCCATTGCCGACAAATAAAGCATCATACGGGAAGGTGACCTAATTCAAGTGATGTTTCATTTGTCGGCGACGGGGTCGTTCTAAATGGTGGCAACATTCCTTTAATGATGATTAAGTTGTAGAAGAGTCACCCCTTTACTGATTTCGTGCGTCTCAGAAGTTAGTTCTGTGAATAAAAGTTGTCATTGTTAGGCAGAGTCGCAACACTAGCTAGTGATGTCGCTGACTTACCACTTTTCAATATGGTCTCCGTTCTGACTCACCCATGCACATGTCACAATAAAGAAAGCAGGGGTAAGTTTCAAAGGAATCTTGGATTAGTACGTACGATTGTTCTTAAACAAGACAACCCATTGACAAATATGTTCATGGTACATGGATATTAATTTTAGCGGTTTAAGTCAACATTTTGTAGACTAATGGTTGGTACAATGACATGTTAAAGAAATAAAATGTGTCATTAAATGGGATACTGACGTTAGTTTCATGTAAATTGAAAGACCATTCTTCAGAATGAATTATCGACGAATTTTCTCTTTGCCCGATCATACATTGCGGGCGAATGTGACTAGTCAACAAGAGACGTTTACTTCTCAATGACACTTGATACTACCTCTCATGTTTTACAGGGTAATATCTGCTCTGTTCCCAGTTTGAATCAATTCACAACTTTTGAATCTGATTAATTTTCGTTAGGTATAAATTTCAAGAAAGACCTCAATTGAATCGAGGAGGTTTATTAAATCGTTGATAGCATTATCAAGATAACATAAAGAACAAGATAGGGTATTGATTATGTTCAGCCCCCTCTGCAGAGTTGTTCATATCAGTACCAGAGAGAGTATTGACTGTGGCACTCAAGAAAAGAAAAAGTTTTCCTTGGTAACCTTACAACAAAGCAAACACGGCAACAGCATATTTTAAAAATATTCATTTGAATTATATTAATTGATGATCAGTTATAATCTGCATACCCGGTAACTCAATCTTGGTTAAAAAAAACAGAAAATTGTTTTTAAGGAATGTACTATGATTTATTCAATGTTTCCATAGCAACAAACCCCTTAGCAACCAAGCATTGAATATGATTTTTCTAATTCAATTTCATTCAGCATATAATTTTAATGTAAGTGAATAAGAAACTAGCGTTACATTATCAATTATTTAGCAATAACTTTTTAAATACTACAGTGTATTTTTTTTGCCAATATATTCCATAGCAACCCATTTTATTCCATAGCAACTATATATTTCATTGTTTTTATCCCATAGCAACCATGTAAACAATATCTCCTTTTTCAATTTTTAATTACAACATGAATTTTTTTCGACATTTTTTTTTTATCAATACGAGCTAGAAATAATAGATTAGAACACATCAATCTATTTTCTTAACATGTGAAACAATAGAAAACTTTTCTTTCAATCATACTCTGTATATGGAAAATATCATTATGACATATCATTTCAATTTGCGTCACTTAATTATCAGTTTTTAACAAATATTCTTGAATATATATGTCATTAATAAATAATAACATATAGTTTAATCACACCTGATTGACATTGTTAATAGCAAAGTTACATACATGTATGTACATGTAACATGTAAATGTGTAACAAATTAACAAAGACATGTTCATGTAAACATCCAACAATCAGGATTTCCACTTTTCCTAAGGATTAAGAATAAAGTTAAAATTTCTGAAAGTGCAAGGATGTGTCAATCAAACCCGCCAAAAAATTTCAAGTTTTAATAACTTTTAAATGAAATAAGATTTTTTTATTAATTTATGTGTGAAATGCTATTAAAATATATAATTCGTGATATTATACAGAAAAAATGAGAAAATATTAACTTCAAATCTGTGTCCAAGTACCTTTAAGTTCTACACCTTTACTTCTATAAAATATCTTCAAAGTAAAATTATTTTCTGCATTTATAAATAATACACTCAAAATTAGACTGTCTTTACATTTGTTTGTAATAACACTGTGTCATAATTTGTAACTACATTTGAATGTTGAATCAGTGAATATTAACGGGAAGAACTACAAACAGCATATCAAATTAACCTTCAAAACTGAATTGCAAATGTCATCAATAGAAATTACAATTTAACACATCTGACATTTACTCCTCTGGATTATCATCACTCCCACTCTCCATTTCACTGTCTGTTTCTGGAAGGATGCTTGCATCAGTAATAGAGCTATGGAACTTCACTCTATGACTATCGGTTCCTTGGAAGCGATGGTATCCAAGATACCAAAGGACACTAGCGACATGGGCACAACATCCCACAACACGTGCACCAACTTTGCATGTGCAATACCACCCTATAATTTCATCTAGATTATAATGAATAACAAGAGGCCCATGGGACTTATAGGTCACCTGAGCTAGACATCATGACATTCACAATTTTGAAAGAGGCAATGATCTTGCATTGATGAAAAACTATAAACTTAATAGCAATTTCTTAGTTTGGTTACTTAATAGCCATAGGCAGGATAGGGGAACAACAACTGTATTTCAACTTATCAGTAATATTCAGCGATGATCAGTAGTTCCCCTACCACACATGAACCTCCGGCCCTAGGTCAAAGCATTGCACAATTTTTGAAAAG